AACAAAAAAGCATATTAGAATGATTTCTGAAGGATCATGTGACACTAAAGACTGGAGTAATGCCAGCTTTGCATCACATGACATTTTAAAATATCAGTACAGTTCTTTTAAGTTGGAATAATATTTCCATCATATTACTGTTTTACTGTATTATTGAAGAAATAAATGCAGCCTTGGTGACTTCTTACAAAAACATAAAATTCTTACTGACCCCAAGCTTTTGAACGGTGGTGTATATACAGTATAATTGGCCTATAGAAATCTAACATGTATAATTCCATATATGCATTCTTCTATCTTCATTCTAGGTTCAATAATGCAGACTACATCTCCAGTAACCCTGTACTGAGTGCCATCAAAGTGATCTACTACTGTGTCTTTGCGCTGCTGTATGGTCTGGCCGGCTCCTGTAGTGACGTGGTCATGGTAAATTCCACCTGGACTTTAGGTCACATTCTGGCTCTGTGGCGCGCTCCTAACTGCACCAGTGTGGTCTATCCACCATGCGACGTTCAGGCCTTCCTGGACGTCCCTATTGTGGATGAAGAGAAGGAGAGAAAGAAGTGTCACTCTGTGGTCTCTGTGGGTCAGTTCCGGCCTGAAAAAGACCATCGGCTGCAGATCAAGGCTTTTAGAAAGCTTCTGGACAGGAAGGGGGTGGAGCCTGCCGGGCGAGAGACCGTGAAGCTGGTGTTGATTGGTGGATGTCGTAACCAGGAAGATGAAGAAAGGGTGCAGATGCTGAAGGGATTGTGTCTGGATCTGGGTGTGGTAGATAGAGTGGAGTTTAAACTCAATATCCCATTTGAAGAACTGAAGAAAGATTTAACAGACGCCACAATCGGGTTGCACACAATGTGGAATGAACATTTCGGTATTGGTAAGAAATATCATGCTCTCAGCAAAATCTCAAAACACTATACAGATTACTTAAAAAAAAAAAAAAAAGATTGTTTATGGAACCATAAATAAATTAGTAAATATTATACAATAAATTGTTTTTTAATTAAATTATTTTTTACAATTGAATTAATTTTTTTTACATTTAATTAAAATGTTACTTTCTTTAAATTATTTTGTAAAATTTAATTTAATTTTTTTTAACTTAATTAAAATGTTACATTAGTTAAATTATTTTGTAAAATTGAATTAAAATAATATTTTATTAAAATTTGAAATATAATAGATTAATAGAATATTATATATATTATACACATTATGCATTGTAAAATGTTTTTTTTTTTTTTTGTTAGAAATAATTGAAATTGACAGATTATTTTTCTCCACAGGGCATATTTGCCAGTGTTATTTTAGTATCATTGATATTACATTTTAGTTTTCGGTAATATTTTGAATTAGATTTCATTGTATATTTTCTGTTAATCTCTTTCATTTTAGTTTTATCATTTTTGTCATTTATATATATATTTCTTTAAATGCCTGTATAGTTTTTATTTATATTTATTGATTAGTTTTAGTTTACTGTATTTTTAGTTATTTTAGTCTTTTTTTAAGTTAAACTAAATGAAAATAAGAAATGTTGCCTTGGCAATTAGCTAATATATATAGCTAATAGTAATATATTTTAGTATACAGGTGCATCTCAATAAATTAGAATGTCGTGGAAAAGTTCATTTATTTCAGTAATTCAACTCAAATTGTGAAACTCGTGTATTAAATAAATTCAATGCACACAGACTGAAGTAGTTTAAGTTACATTTGAGTTTTCGTTAATATTTTGAATTAATTTCATTTTATATTTTCTGTTAATCTCTTTCATTTTAGTTTTAGTTATGTAGTTGTGTTTTGGACATTTATATATATATATATATATTTAAATGCCTGTATAGTTTTTATTTATTATTATTTATTCGTTTTAGTTGTTTTAGTCCTTTAAGTTAAAATAAATAAAAAAAATAAGAAATTAAGAAAATAAATTGTTGACAATTAGCTAATATATAGCTTCATATATATATATATATATAATTTTTTATTTTTTTCAGGTAACACAAATGTTTGTTTAGGGTTTTAGTTTCAATTTTAGTTAACTAATAACCCTGATATTTCCCTGACCGTTACACTGAGAATTTCTCATCTTCTCCCACATGTCCGCAGGTGTAGTGGAGTGTATGGCTGCAGGAACTATCATTCTGGCTCACAAATCCGGTGGTCCCAAGTTGGACATTGTAGTTCCCTATGATAACGGTCCAACTGGCTTCCTGGCAGACGATGAAGACAGTTATGCAGATGCCATGGAACGAATCCTTGCTATGACTCCTGCAGCTCGATCAGAGATCCGACGCCGGGCGCGTCTGTCCGTCACCCGCTTCTCAGACCAGGAGTTTGAAGGCTCATTTCTTTCAGCCGTGGAGCCTCTAATGTCAACACTAAGACTGTGAGTGATCGAGGAGGGGGTCATGGTGACTGACTATAGTGGTATAGTTCAGTCTAGTTCACAAGCGTGTGCTGGCCCCATAATACAGACCCCAAATCATTCCTTGTCTAGAGCAGAAGTGAGCACTTCATACCTGCCTGTCTTGTGAACATTTGCTCTTTACGTAACATCACTAAGGTAAGGGAAAAGCATCATGGGAAATGCTAGTTCTGGTGAGACGCCACCTTTTGCTTTAACTTAATGACAGATTGCTGCAAATTAACAGAAAGAATTAGATTTTGTTTAATTTAAATGCAAACATGCAGTTTTTTCTTCATATCTGTTATATGTACATTATATATGATAAGAGTACAAATGTAATAGCTTTGTTTTGTTTTATTGTAAAAGGTTTTAGAGGGTTACACAACAAGACTAATGTATCAAAAAAGTGATGTTTCTCTTGGAAGATTCAAATTATGCTAGTGCTTTATGTTCTTTCTTTTTTTTTTTTGCAATAAATTATGAGTGAGTAGTCTGGAAATATAAACAAAATGCTTGTCCTGTTTGATGGAAAATAAACTGAATTCACTATTACCACATAATTTTAAGTAGTATTTTTTAAGTAGTACCGTTATTACATTGGAAAGCTGTGCTCGGTTCTCATTTTTGTCACATACAGCTGTCCAAACCTTTTCCACGGTTAACCAACCTCCAGTAACAGAATTGGTTTTACATAATAACTGCTGTATACAGAAAAGCTGTCCCAGGAGCACAGATTCTGAGTAAGGGAAGAAGTGTTTGTCTGTCTAGACTAGATAGGAAAGTGAGAGAGAGGCCAAATTAAACAGCGCATAGTATCTGGGAAAAGAGGAGGGAACGGAGAGGGTTGAGGGTATTTAAACAGCTAGTAACAGAATTTTTCTTCAGCTTGTTATAAAACCTAACAATCAAATAAATGAAACAAGTACACTTTTCTCAAATACTACTGAAAGTTCATTGTACTTAAAAGAAAAAAAAGTTATGTGAACTCAATGACTGTTCAGGAGAGTGAATGTTGAAATTGTGTTATCTGTATTTTTGCATAAGATTAATAGGTGAGATCTCTTAAGTGGTTTTAGATTTGATGCAAATAGTTGTATGCAGTTTTATCAAGTTACACAAGCTACACAAAGTATACTGATTTATAATAATTCATATTAAGAAATATTCTCTTTTTTTGTGGACTCGAACTGAACAAGCTCACAGTACATAGTAGATTGGTTTTAAACTTTAAGGCAATTGTTTCCTAAAACGGTTAATCTTAACTAATATTGGGTATTACAGTGTGCATGTGTACTTTCTAATAATAATAAATATACTACTATACTAATATACTGTACATTATAATGAAATCTCTTCTGCTCACCAAGGCTGCATTTATTTGATCAAAAATACAGTAAAACCCTAATATTGTAAATTATTATTAATTGAATACATTTCTTATTGAAAATTCAGCTTTGCATCACAGGAATGAATTAATATATAAAAATAGAAACAGTCATTTTGAATTGTTATAATATTTCAGAATATTAAGCTGTAATTAAAAAAAAGATTATTGGACTACATTTTACAAGAAAATACCATTTGAGATAAAATGTCATTCAATGTGCTACTTTGAAATCAATTGTGAAATTTACTAGCAAAGTATGAGTTAAAATAGTTTCTACAACATTATTTTTTCATTGAATGCTTCAAGGAACAAGGCTATTTTTCATAACATGTATTAATTGCAATATTTGTTGCCTGAAACAATAATTCTGCCTTATACATTTTTGCTGTTTCATAATTTTTGTACTGTTTAATATTTGATGAAAAGCCTATGATAGGCAATTTAATAACAAACTCCATTGTAACACTCCACATAGTGTGGCAACACCTCCGTTATTAGGACATGGTGTCACAACTGTCAACATGTTCAATAACTGTGTAATAGTTCAAATGTGTTTAACAGACTATACAGAAATGAACCAACCTTGAGAAATATTCACAGAAGTAAGTGAAAATTAGCTGCAACAATTCATGATTACAATCATAGGAACTTGGAAAAGGAGTAATAGGAGATTCTCAGAAACTACTAATGGTTAAGAAAGCAGAATTAGATGTCTGTTAACTTCGCTTTTTCATGAGTCACTGATTTGATTTCACTGTCAAGAATAAATATTGATTTCTTCCTCTGTTCAGCTATATTTGCCACTTTTTCAGATGCAGGAGAAAATCAGAAAGAAAATGTTTATAAATAAATGTAACAGATGCATCATTCATGCAGACACTTCTCTAAATCCAGGTGGATCCAGGTGGATGCTGCACACTGGTGGTGGATGAGGAGATACCCCCTGACAATGTAAAGCGCTTTTGAGTGCCTAGAAAAGCGCTATATAATTCAAGTACATCATCCAAAATGGTATGTTGTAATTTTGCACAGTCGTTTTTAAATTTTTTGTTATCAGACCATATTCTGGGTAAAACAAGCATTGGGTTTGCATGACAAAGTTCCTCTTTACCCAGATGTGCACGAACAGGAGAGAGACGCCAAATTAAACAACACCTTGTACACGGAAAAGAGGAGGAGAATTAGAAGAGCCATCACAGTTAAAAAAGGACTGTTTGGTAGGAAGAGTGTCCAGTGTGATTGAAATGAAAATGAGGTGCTGTGTTTTTCTCTTTCTGCTCCTGCAGGTTTTGGGAGGTTTAGGTGAGTGCGGTCTTGATGTTGATTATTAGCACAGACTGTAAGACATAAGGAATAAATATGTAACAATACAAACAATGGAAACATGCAGCTTTCATACTTTGCTAAAATAAATGTCAGTAGTCTAACGTGCTGACTTTTAATCTTAAAAGTCCTTTTTTTGTGGATTTAGTTGTAAATCATTAAATAAGTAACATGACCTCTGACATGCAACCATAGGCTTCCCTCTGTTCGAGCTCAGCTCAAAAGCAGATGATACTCTGCAGATGGCGCTCAATCAGATTAATGCACGCATTGCCAGGAATCACCTCTACAGAGTGTCCAAGGCATCTGTAAAGAGGGTCAGTACACACTCTTACAACAACTCTTTTATACATCTGGCAAAACTGGTGACTAGCGAGGATCCAGTCATCAATGAAAGACCAGTAGACAAAGTATAACGAATGAATAGTTTAAAAAAGCAACTGCCAAAAATACTGACTGCTGAGCATTTGCCTTTATATACCTTAAGATTGTTCCTCTGGGAACGAACACATTTGATCTGCATCTGAGGTTTGGCATCAGGGAGACGGAGTGTCAGAAGAGCTCTGGGGTCGATCCTCAGGGCTGCATGTACCGCAAAGGTTTTTTTGTGGTAAGTTATCTCAAGGTATTCATATCACATATGTATGGACATGATCCAGGTTTGCCAATAGATTGTAATAATTGTACCAGATTTGTGCACCATTGATAATTGAATTAACACCTTTTCAATTGCTTAAGCTGAATAGTGGAAGCAATGGATGCAATATGTGAATATTCACAGAATTTGTATAAACTGATGGGAGTGGTTTTAATTTTCAGTATAAATTACCCATAAACATGTCATCACACACATTGTCTACAAACATTAGATAATCAGTGTATGAAACAACAGCTATTTATAATTTATATACTCATATTTTTTATTTTATAGGTCTTGGTAAAAGACTGCATTTTCCAATGCTGAGAATTTTCAATATATTTATATAATAATGTTTTACTAATTTTGGTCAAATAAATGCAGCCTTGATGAGCAGAAAATACCTTCTTTCAAAAAATTTTTTTCTATCACTAGGTCTAATTTTTCAAATATTAGGTCACTTAAAAAAAAAAAACTGCACACAGTTCTCCTAACACTGTAACAAAAAATATTTAAAATTATTGGAGTATGTTTACAAGATAATACTATATCAGTCTTGCTACTGTAAATGTTCACATTTAATCTTCGCTATTTACAATTAATTGTAAAATTGACAAGCAATTTCTGAATGGTTTCTACACCAATCGTTTTTTCAGTGTATTTTTCGCCTTGGCACAGCAGTTAATTTTGAATCGAAAAAGCACTAAAACTTCCAAAACACATAATAAATGTCTCTTCATACATCTCAAATCAGGTCATTCTTTACAACAATAGTAATGTTTGTGACCCAACAAACACACTTTATCACTCATAAAACAATGACCTAAAAAACACTAACAACAGATAGCATTACACAATGTTTTCTTTTGTAAAATTTCTTTACAAAACAGCAAGTTTCCCCATTTTTATAGACGTAATGAAATTGAAAGACTAACACTTGTGTAGGTATTAGGTTTAGAACATATTTCAATATGGTATTACTGTAGAAATGCAGCAAATTGCTGTCTTACTCAGTTTATCCACAGATACTATTGCGCTTACTGTGTGAAGAGATTTGAAAATTGATCCAAGTACTGAGAAATTGGCCCTAGCAACTGTTACAAGCTATACCGACCCCAAACATTTGAATGATAAAAACAAACAAACAAAAAAAAACTAAAAAAAAGTTTTATGTGACTGCTGAATTTGATTGATATATGAATAAATAAGCTTTCCATTGATGTATAGTTTGTTAGGATATGACAATATTTGGCTGAGATACAACTATTTGAAAATCTGGAATCTGAGGGTGCAAAAAAATCAAAATATTAAGAAAATCGCCTTTAAAGTTGACCAAATGAAGTCCTAAGCAATGCATAGTACTTAGCAAAAATTAAGTTTTGATATATTTATGGTAGGAAATTTACAAAATATCTTCATGGAACATGATCTTTACTTAATATCCTAATGATTTTTGGCATAAAAGAAAAATTTATAATTTTGACCCATAATTTACAAAATATCTTCATGGAACATGATCTTTACTTAATATCCTAATAACTTTTGGCATAAAAGAAAAATATATAATTTTGACCCATACAATGTATTGTTGGCAATTGCTACAAATGTACCCGTGCTACTGAAGACCAGTAGTTGTGGTCCAGGGTCACATATTTTTAAAATGTGTATATTAACAATCCTTTGTAGAAACTTGCATAATGGTTAGTAATAAGTAATACTGATCTTTTTTCATGAATCTTTTTTGATTCTTTTCCATACCCTTGGGGTGTAGTCGGAGGCAGGGTGCTATATCAGAGCCAGAGTGAGTCAGGACATCACTCGTATCATCTCTCTCAGATGCACAAAGGCCGACAGCTCCAGCTCTGAGTCCAGTGAAGAGGTGAGTGTCAACATAAAGAAAAATGTATTTCACCAGGAGCATCCAAACATTACCATGAGAAGATACGCACCAAAATGTAAGTGTCTAGTAAACAAGCAAGAAGGGCTAGAAAGAAAGTGCACGTTTGCATCAGTAAATATAATTTCATTAAAAACTATTCATTGACTATTGTGCAGAAGTATGTAACCTATGTCAAGGATAGTTAAATATACGGAATAATAATGTTTACATATAGTGCTTATGTAAATTTTATTTTCATTTTAAGTAAATTAATTTTAATTTTGAAATGCATGACTAAACAATGAAGTAATTGCCGATAACTTTTTTCCGCCAACAGGGGGGGTTAGGATTATACTACGATTTAAATCATTTTGGGACTAGAGGTAAATAAACTTGTCATCTTTCACACTTGCATATTTGGCATATTAGTATTGTGATCACAATGTTAATAATGCTTTTGACATATTTGTAGACCGCACACATTCAACTTCAGCACCAAGCATTATCATGGCTCCACCAATACGTGCGGGTCATCATGACAACACTGAAACCAACCATGTTCGTGGAGACCATTTCGACAATCACCTGCCATATCACTGACCTGCTGGATGAAATCACATGAAGACTCTTCATACAAACATTAAGGTGCTACAAACAAAGCGAAATGAAACTACTGTACTAAGGGCCAATAACTGCAGCCTCCACTGAAACATGAAACTGATTATTCACTGTATGTGATATGAATACGAATACCTGCTGGCATTAACCTCCACAAGAAACCCAATAAAAAACAGAAACATGGATGATATCAACATGTATAATTTCATTTAAAATTACACATTTTGCAGAGGGATATGCAGAGCATGATGTTCATTGACCTTTGATGGATCATGACCGGATACTTTAATAATTTAAAATTAACTTCAGTTAGTCACTTCTCAACCACCTGAAAAGTTTCATGATATTGTAAATACATTCAATAAACAAATTCTTCTTAATGAAATGTGGACATGCGTTAATATGCATAATTGTTTGTACATATGCCAAGTGGCTCTTATAGAGCCATTATAGGTGCTCACTGTAAGATTCTGAAGTTGCACGTCATGTCTGAATGGCGAAAATAAGCCAGAATCCTTCAACAAGTAAAACCTACAGGGAAACCGAACTTCCTAATGGCCTCTTTTTATAAGATGAGAATATTTTGATCAGTTGTTTGATACACGTGTTCTAGAATCTTAAGGCATGGCTGTATTCATGAGCCAATAATACAGGTTATAATACAGGATATAAGATAAATCTATGTGAATAATGATTGTGTCATTCAGTCACATGACTTAAAAGTCCATCTCTTCATAGGTGAACAATTTGTAAAAGTCAGCTTGAATGTTCACTAGAGGAAGTAAGGACCAACAAGTAACAGCAAGGCAGTCATTTGTTTTACCTAGACAAAGATACTGCAGCAAATGAGAATATCTACAATTTAAACGGGTCTAATAAAAAAAAAAAGCAAACATTCCACAGTCTCACAGAACTAGACATTGGGGCAACTCCCTGAACAACAAGTCCTTCATGTTACAGTTTTGACAAATACAACTAAAATGCACTTAGTGGCTCAAAGAGCAATAGTGATCAAGATCCATTCTAGATGCATCCATTGAGCACTGGATCTGCCATATAAATGGTCAAAGTTGTGCCAAACTAATATACCAGCCAAACACACTGCCTAATTCAACCTACCCATCTAAAACTCCTCAAACATCAATAACCATCCAACCATTTAAAAAACTTCCATCTGAAATAACAATCTCTTCAGATTATTAAATAATCGATAATATAAAAACAATATGAAATCAAAATTAAAAATCCCACCAACCCCAAAGTTCAAAATGTTTGTCTTCCCAAAAATCAATAAGATTAACAGTTTAATGTAGTTTTGTCTTCCATGCAGTACCAAGGTGTTGAAGTGGAATCACTCCGTTGTTTGGAACTGGAACTGATGCACTGTCACAAAGTCACAGTAAAGCTGAAACTACTTGAGCGGTTTTGTACAGAAAAAGCTGAGCATACCAACAAAATGATGGCTTCAATGAGACATGTAAATAGCAAGCAAGGGTGTCCAGGAAAAGTTGCAGTTTTCTCAGTTTGTGAGTTTGGTGCTGTGGTCCCGCTTGGGTGGGGCAGGAGGAGGCCCTCTCCGTAGCGTTGCATAGCCTGAGATATTCCCGGACATGAAGCCACTACCACTGTGTCTCTGTTGATCATTCAGAAGCTCAGGTGGAGGTGGTGGCAAAGCCATGTCATCCATTGTGGCCACAGGGTCCACTTTGTCTCCAGAGACTCGCGAGGACTTGCGTTTCAGTGTCTTGTTAAGGTCCTCCAAGAAGTTTGGCTGCGTGGTGCCTTTAGGAGAAGAAGGGGGAATAGGGCCCCCTTGTATGGAAGGTGGTGAGAGTGGTGGAGGCTCTCTAATAGTGTTGTTACAGCGAATTGACGCTGGAGGTTGCGTCTTTTTCAGTGAACTCTTGCCCCAAGCAGGCTGGGGCTGAGGATTGACCACAGCCACTTTCGGAGACAAACCATTTGGATCACCTGGAAGGGGCGGTGGTGGAGGGAGGTCAGACTCCAGTGGGGGAGGGGGGAAGATGTCATTTTCTGGGGGTGGAGGGGATGGGAAGTCTGCAGTGGATTGGCGGTTCTGATTCAATTTGTTCTGCAAAGCCAAAGGAAGATTTGCCAGATTGAGCTTTCCTGGTTTGGGGGGTGCCCGAGGACCTGTGGAAAGCTCTTTGGAAGGTGAGCTACTGGAGCTTG